CCCACATTACTGGTGGGAATGGTGTAGCCACTTTGGAAAACAGTATAGCACTTCCCAAAAAGGTTAAAGAGTTACCATAGAATCCAGCAATTTCACTCCTAGGTATAGACCCAAAAGAAATGGAAACATATGTCCATATAAAAACTAGTACATGAATGTCCATAGCAGCATTATTTATATTAATAATATTCCAAAGGTACAAACAACCCAAATGTCCATCAACTGATGAATGGATAAAATATGATATATTCATACAATGAAATGTTATTCAGCCATATAAAGAAATGAAGTACATATGCTACAACATGCGTGAACTTTGAAAACATGCTAAGTGAAAGAAGCCGGGCACAAAAGGCTATATATTATACAATTCCCTTTATATGCAATGTCTAAAATAGGCAAATCCAGAGAGACACATAGTGGTTGCCTAGGGCTAGGGGACTTGAGACAGAAACAGGGAGTGAAACATGGAATGAAGAAGACAGATCTAAGATGTTCCTGGTTGAGAACATTTAAGGCTCGTTCTACCCTAACCTGGCACATTGAGCTCTCAGAGAAGAAAGCCTGGGGCTGCATAGATCACCTGTCCTTCCTTTTTCCTTCTTCCCCAAATGCCCATGTGGCTTCCCAGGGTGGCCAAACCTGAATCTGCCTCAAACATAGAAGTAACACTTTAACTTAGGAGTGCAGGTCAGGAGGCTTTACGCTCACCCACTGTTTTCCCCTTTGCATTCTATGTTCTAAAAGTGATTTCTAGCACAGTGGTGCATGTCTGTAGTACCAGCTACCTGGGAGGTTGAGACGGGAGGATCCTTTGAGCCCAGGAGTTCAAGACCAGCCTGGGCAACATAGGAAGATACCCCCTCTGCATCTCATTCATTCAGTCATATTCAGTCATAAATAAAATGGGTTTTTAATCCCCCAGGCGTGGACTCTCTTAAATCTGTACCTGCTTAAATTACATGGTTAATGACAAGAATGACATGCAAAGAAAATGGCTCCTATGTTTTGACATGGGAAAAATCCTCCGAGAAGACAGAAATCATGCCCTATTCAGCCAACACAGGTGAGCTCTCTCTGAGCCAAAGTTCTTGGAAAGAGGAGTTGCCTAGGGAAAGAAGCAGGAGGAAGACTGGCCCAGCGTCCCCTTGCAGGTCCCTCTCACTCTAACACGGGCCACGTTCTGAAACCAAGGCAAAAACGGAAAATAACTGAAAAGGGAGCTGGCCTCCTGCTCGCAACCCACATTCCAAAGGCCGGGTGACTCTGACAGAATGCCGGGTGGGAGGCGGTCACACTCCCGGCAGGGGCAGGGCGGTTGTAAGCACTCAGCTCTTTCTCCTCTTCCAATCACATTCTCGAGCACTTCCACTGGCCAACAAAGGGGGGGCGAGGACTCCAGCATGAGCCCAATGTGTGTCCCCACAAGGGGACCTTTCAACGCCAGCCACAAGCACCGCCTGAGGATGAGGTCAGCCTCTATTCTATAGGCCACGGAACAAGCTGACTTTGTGGCCAGATGGCCGGCCCCTGTGAGGCCCTAAAGATGGGAAAGGATTGGTTTTCCCCACAGGGACCTCATTCCCTATGCAGGAAGCCCAGCCAAGCCATTTTTAAATAGGTACATTCAGGGGACAGGCATAGAAACATTTACAAGAGCCTCTGTGAGTAATCAGGGTGGCCCATGCTCTCTGACCTAAGTTGTCCTACACTGCTGGGCTCACCCCCTCTAAGTCCCTTCCTCTGTATCCATAACAACAGCCTCCGGGTCAAGAATCTAGCATGGTTCCCCATTCACCATAAGACCATGCTCCAACACCTCACCTTAGCACTAAAATCCCTGCAAGATTTGGTCACCCACCCACCCCGCCCTCCGCCCTTCCACATGTGTCTTGTCCTTACTTTTTCTCCTCCTCTCCAGTTACACAGCCTAAAAGCTAAAAACACATTCAGCCTGAGTTCAAATCCTAACACCACCATTAAATAGCTGGAGGCCTTGCCCAACACACTTAAATAACTCACTGCTTCAGTTTTCCCATGTGTTGAGAGCAGGGATAATGACATTACCTGCTGCTCAGGTGAGTACAGTGGTGGTGAAGGAGAAGATCTAGGTAAAACAGTCAGAACAGAACCTGACACACAGTATCACCCAGTAATACTTATTATTATTCATACAAGTCCCTTCCATGAAGCCTTCCCTGGCAATATTAGTCAACGTCTTCTGTTTCCCAAATGTCCTATGAATAGTCAGAGAGCACAGACACTGCCAGGATTTGTGAGGGACTGTTTCATGGGGCAGGTTACTTGGATGGTAGGCCGGTGTTAATATTACCATTAAGAAATTCAGGCCGGGTGCAGTGGCTCACGCCTGTAATCCTAGCACTCTGGGAGGCCGAGGAGGGAGGATTGCTGGAGCTCAGAAGTTTGAGACCAGCTTGAGCAAGAGTGAGACCCTGTCTCTACTAAAAAACAGAAAGAAATTAGCCAAACAACTAAAAATAGAAAAAATTAGCCAGGCATGGTGGCGCATGCCTGTAGTCCCAGCTACTCGGGAGGCTGAGGCAGGAGGATCGCTTGAGCCCAGGAGTTTGAGGTTGTTGTGAGCTAGGCTGACGCCACGGCACTCACTCTAGCCCGGGCAACAGAGCGAGACTCTGCCTCCAAAAAAAAAAGGAAAAAAACGAAATTCATGTCCTAAAACACATACCTGTGGCTCCCAAATTATCTCCACCTCCAATGACAATATTTCTGCCTAGTCCACCACTATGAGATACTATATATTTGTATGGTTACAGATTTTGTCTCTTGGAGCCAAGGCTTAATTCTGCCAAGACTAAAAACTTCTCCAGAGCGGGGATCATACCATAGACGTCTGGTACACACTCAAGAGTTCCCACCGCAGCACCGCCAATGCTTGCTGAATTTAAAAAGAGAACATTATGTTACTTGAAAAACAAAAGTAGTATAGGGGAGATTAAGCCAACCCTCAGAATAAGAGCCAAAACCTACACTTTTGGTATTCCTACTCCCAAACTTCTTGCCACAAACACAGATCAACCCATGGAAGAAGGAAGTAGGTGGCAAACACGCCAAGATGCAGTGAAACACTGTTTAGGCCAACGAGACAGCCTCAGTTCTTGGCCTTCCTGCCTCCAAACTCCCACAGTACTTCATCCATCCTCTCACATTGCAGTTACTAATTTCCGCCTTATTTTAGGCCTTAAAAGACTTCATACCTTCTGTTCTGAAATATAAGCCCCATTTCTCACAAGTCTAAATGCCCTATAGCTCTCTATACAGTGCCTTACTAAGTAGAGATCCAATGTTTAAAGTATCAGAAGAGAATCTAAATTTCACAAGGCTTGGTTTTTGGTTTTGGGGGTTTTTTTTGTGGGAAGAGGGGATTGAGACAGGGTCTTGCCCTGTTGCCTGGGCTAGAGTATAGTGATGCCATCATAGCTTACTATAACCTCAAACTCCTGGGCTAAAGCGATCCTCCTGCCTCAGCCTCCCGAGTAGCTGGGACTACACATGCATACCACCACACCTGGCTAATTTTTATATTTTTTGTACAGGTGGGGTCTCACTACAGTGCTCAGGCTGGTCTCAAACTCCTGGGTTCAAATGATCTTCTTCTCTTGGCCTCCCAAAGCACTAGGATTATAGGCCACTGCACCTCGCCTGAATTTCGTAAGTTTTAAGAGTAGTTTCCTCTATGCCTAAGACCATACAATCATGATTATAAATGCATTGCCCAACAGAAAGCTTCAAAGGGCCTGCTTTACTAATGAATAAGAATATACAAAGTGCTTTTAAGAAAATGGTTGTTTTGAAGCAGTGGAGTGCATTGAAAATAGTCTTAGCTTCAGCCTAGGTTGGGAAGAACACTTCCTGAAGAGTTGCTCCCGGTAATGCCATCTCCTTGCCGGAGGGGACTCCATTAGAGCCTGCTCCTGGCTTCCCTCCACCTCACTTGTTTGGCCACGAAGATGCAGGGCTGAGTGGTAAGTCTGTAAAGGAAATGTGGACCGCTAGCCCTTCCTCTCCTTCCTTCCCCAGGATGACAGCACCTGTGCTCTCTCCACAGCAAACCGGCAAACCATGCCCTTGCTAAGCAAGTCTGCCGCCCCCAGTGCTGACGGCACCCTGCTGGGCCAGTCTGACTCATTTGGGGGTTTGGTAGAAGGAAGCCCATCTACGTGCAGATAAGAGCCACATAGTCACACATTAGTTTTACCAGGAATACAGGTGATGTTTGACAACTATCTGTTGACACTTTAATCTTTTTCGTTAATTAGTTCAGAACCTGGGAGGGGAAGAATGGTGTTATTTTATTGGATTCCCTCAAAAACCCCACCACATCCCCCTGTAATCTGGCTGATTTAGAGGCCTGCTATGCAGGGGGAAAAGGAAAATTCCAGAAAAGGTCACATATATGTCTCCATCAACTTCATATGCCAGGCCCTCTTCTGCATACACTGCCTAAGAAATAGCTGGAAATCCATCCCTCACCCCTGGAGACACCACCCACCCTGCAAGTAATCTGTCCAGAAAGGTAAAAATGTCCCAGAGCCCACTCCCCATCAGCTGTGGGAATATTCTAGCCTTTATCCTACTTCCCATAGCGGCCAAATTAAGTGTTTATAACAGCTGCTACTTGAAATACCAGCAGCCATCCTTATGACCAGGGAAAAGGACAGACGTGTATAAGAAAAGATTGTGCACATTTCATCAGGAACAGCTATAAACAAGGCTACGACAATACAAACATCCCCCGCCAAAAGCGTCACAGTGCGTCTATACGCCTACTTAAGATCCAACCATGGAATGGTTTGCCTGCTTGGCCAGAAGGCACGGCACAGGCTTTGGGAAGGTTCCTAGAGAGCAAGCATGCCCCAAACCACACCGGGATGGGTGGGTCTGTCCTCAAAAATCACGTGTTTCCCACCTGCCCTCGTCAAACATCAGAAAAAGGAAGAGTTGGAAAGAGACAAACTTACGTGCTCTTTCATCTCGTTGGCCACGGTTTTTGACATCATGATGCAGCAGAGGATGACGACCAGGATGAAGTAGAGCGCGTACATGAAGCGGGTGCTGCGGGACTGGCGGATCTTGGGGCAGCAGTCGCAGCAGAGGGAGCAGCCTGCAGACCCACAGCAGCAGGCCAGCTGTTCACAGGAAAGGAACACAGAGAATGCTCTCAGAGCGTGGCATCGTGACAGAGTAAGAAAGACATGTTTGGTCTGGCACAGGAGCTTCTAAAAAGCTCTGCAATTTCATGAGCGATGAGGGTAAGATTTTGTTACTAATGATAAGCCCCTTTCAACCATACCAAATTTATGGTAATGAGGCAACTCTTTCTGAGCCCCTAGATGGCTTCAGGATGGGGGCTGGTTGCCAGAGGTTTGGAGGGGCGGAAGCTTCAGAGCAACCCTCCCACCCCTAGATCTGGGGGCAACGGGGGACGGGACTAGAGATTGTGTTAATTACCGATAGCCACTGATTTAACTGATCATGCCCACACGATAGCACCCCCCATAAAAGCCCCAATCAACGGGATTCAGAGCATTCATGTTGGTGAGTGTACCCCCGTGCCAGGAGACAGTAAACCCAACTCCACAGGAACACGTGCTCCTGGGCCTGGGCCTCTGCTGGGCCTTGCCCTGAGTACCTCTTCATCCTGCTGCTCATTTGTATCCTTTGTAATAAACCGGAAAGAGAAGTAAAGAGCTTCCCTGAGTTCTGTAAGCCACTCCAGCAAATGATCAAACACGCGGGGAGGGTGGTGGAAACCTGATTTATACTTGGTCAGACAAAAGTACGGGAGGCCTGGACTTGGGACTCCATCAAAGTGGAGGCAATCTTGTGGAACTGCGCCCTTAACCCATGGGGCCCGCACTGACTCTAGGTAGGTAGTGTCAGAACTGAATCCAACTGTAGGACACCCAGTTGGTGCCATTCACCACAGCCTCCCGGAGGCTGACCTCCCAAGCTACAGGATGATCATTCTTCTGAGGCACCCTGAACATGGGGCATGCAGGAAAGAGAAGCCAAGAACTAGAAAAGGGACACAGTGAGGTGGGAAGAACATAAACGAGAAACAAGAAAATGGACTCAAGAAAGGGACTTATAATCCACGAGCCCAAGAGTGAACTGTACGAGCACCTTTGCAGGAAATGATGGGAGCATGTAACTTGAATCTCAACAGAAACAGGTGCGCCTTTCACTGCATTGTTTCCCAGAACTCCATGCCCCAAATGGTAAACTTTTGAGGCTGAGTGGGGCATGGTCCCAGAGGGGCACAGAGCTCCTGCCGGTAACAGCATACACACCTTTTATTTGGGGAAACTAGATCTTCAATAAAGCACATGGCAATAGAGCACAGTGGTTAAAAGCTCAGGCTCAAAGTCAGCCTACCTGAGGTTGAGGCCTGGCTTTGCCACCTACTAGCTATGGACTTTAAGCAAGTTATTTACCCTTTTAAGATTCAGTCTTCTCATTTATAAAGTGGGGGTGGTAACAGTACTTATGTATGGTCTCCTAGATGACCTCATCAGATATACCTGGTATTAGGAAGGGATCTCTGTTAAGCAAACAGGGACTTCTACAAAAGAGATTACCATAAACTGCAAATTACAATCCAATCTGTTATGTATTAACACTAAATACATAACAGTGTTACATGTTTACACTCCACGTAAAACCTAAAACCCAACAATTCAATCCTTGATAATGATTTGGAAAGAAGTTTCAGACTTTGCAAGGCTTCCAAGCAAGCATCAATTAGAATGCTACACTATAAACATCACTTACAATGAGATGAAATCATAGGAATATAGTTAAGACAAATCACAATGATGTCATGACAGATCTTGGAATCATATTCATTTCCCAAGTTATCTCATCTACTTCATGAAACTGCCATTGTGTGAGCCCTTTGTCATTCTGTACTATTTCATCACCTCGAATTTTTCCTAGTATACTCTGTCCATCCCACATCCAATTTTCCAAGTCTGCTTCCTCAAAAGACTTTTCTTGCCTCCTAAGACTAGGACACTGCTTTGTAAAAGAAGTTATTCTACTCGGCTGAGCTGAGCTAACAGGTAACATAAGTAGTATCCTAACACTATTGCACTGTGTTTTCATGGGCCACCTTTCTTTACACTTCATTCATTCACATTTTCAATCTCCTATTTCTTCCTACTCAAATGCCCAAATTTCATACACACACACACACACACAAATGATGCCCTCCCACTGGCTTAGCTGGTTTTTCTCTGAGCCCTGCCTCCCAAATCCTTTCCCAACTGCCTCCTTCATTGGTTACTAACTCTTTAAGCCACGTGGTTTAAGATAACCAGTCTTACTGTATTTCAAAGCCAAATGCAATAAACAAAACACTCAATCTTGTTTGGGAAAAGAAATCTTTTAGAAGCAGTTAATGCCTCTCACAATAGAACTTTCCCACAGCAGAATCAACATTTAAACTCTCTCTCCACGGAGGGCAAAATGAACAGATACATACAAAACGTGAGCCTAAATGGAACTGATCATTTAAAGGCCCATTTAGGATCATTAGGATCATTTAGTGACAGAAAAGATGTGACTGTGAAAAATATGAAAAGAAAGGTATATGGTTTAATCCTATTCCATCATTAAAGTCATATATCATTGTATGGATCTGATTTTTCAAACTTTCCTTACTTTCACTCTTAGTCTATATATAATGCTACAGTATTAAAAAATATATGTGAACAAAACAAAATCAAACATTATATATATGTTTATGTGTATGTGTCTATATATGTGTGTGTATATATATATACACACATTCCAAATATTAGAATTCAATAGCCTTTCTCTACTAGCCCAAATGCTATTTTCAAAGCAAACTACACATGTTAGTACAAGCACACTATCTTAAGCTAAACACTGATATATACACCAGGTGGAAATTCAAAACAGCATCCATAAAAGAAATGTTTACATGAGCATCTAGGAAAATCTCACTGCCCTGCTGACTGACCACTTGCTTCTGGAAGAGCATACGTAAAATGAGTTCATGTCCATCCCCTGCCACCTGCAGCTTTATCACCTCAAACATGATCCTCACCTTCAAAACTGGAAAAATCAATTCCTGGCCAGCCTAACTCTCAGGGCTTGGAGAAAAATACTGTGGTCTCATTACCCCTGGCTCCCGAGGGTATAAACCTTTTACTTTAACAAGTCAAGGTCTAAACACCAAATAAATGTAGACTGTACAACACCAAGAGTGAACCTAATGTAAACTATGGATTTTGGTGACTGCGATGTGTCAATGCAGACTTATCGATTGTAACAAACGTACCACTCCAGTGGGAGATGTTGATAATGGCGGGGGGGGGGGGGGTGATGTATGATGGGGGAGAAGTAGTGTATATGTCATCTTAAAGCAGCTGGCAACCCTACTCCATGAGACCAAGCTCACAAGTTTCCTGCTGCACTCTGGACTTCTCACACCCGCATTATATCACAAAGAGTATGAAGGGCTTTAATTTGTAGATACTGCACATTCTGCTTTTCCACAGGAAATGGTTATCACTCAAAACAAATCAGACAATCTCTTTGGAGGGCAATGCTTGCAATCCTTCCAGAAGTTCCTCTTGCAGGCACATTTCCACAAGGACACAGAGATTTAGAATCCAGGTCATTCATTACAAACAATGGGGACAGGCTAAATAAATCATTAATTATCTACACAAAGGAATATTTTTTAAAAGAATAAGTCAGTGTCGAACACCGAATTTTGGGCCGGGCGCGGTGGCTCACGCCTGTAATCCTAGCACTCTGGGAGGCCGAGGCGGGAGGATTGCTCGAGGTCAGGAGTTCAAAACCAGCCTGAGCAAGAGTGAGACCCCGTCTCTACTATAAATAGAAAGAAATTAATTGGCCAACTGATATATATATAAAAAATTAGGCCGGACTTGGTGGCTCACGCCTGTAATCCTAGCTCTCTGGGAGGCTGAGGCGGGCAGATCGTTTGAGTTCAGGAGTTCGAAACCAAC